TGGCTTAGTCCGAACATGTCAGGGTGTTCAACATGCGACTCTCAAGAGGGAGCAATGATGAAACTGATGGAGAAAGCAAGAACTGTAGCCAAAACTGAGACAAAGTTGCAACTTCCAGAGAAAACATTTAAAGGTATAATGAGAGGGATGGGAAACTGAAGGTGAAAATGAGCATGGGGAAAGGAAGCCCCTCGGATTTAGCCTGTGAACACCTTACTGATGATCATGATCAAAACGAAGGCAAATGGAAAAGGAATCAGATGAGAAAGTAAAACAAGGCACATAAACTGGGAGATGCAAGAGGGAGACTGCAGCAAAGCAAAAAGTATCAGCCTTACGCAAACTTTCATTTTCCCTATTTTAAATCTGGATTTATACCAAAGAGAGTAAATTTAGGTTTTGCTTTGAGGTTAGAAACGAGAGCCACAAAGTTTCTCAGTTCCTTTCTTGGTGAGTGGCTGACTGTCACTCTGCCTCTATGGGGTTACTGGATGTACGCTTTGCACGCAACCGGTTAGCAACAGGGCTACAGACAGGCAGAGAGGATCAGGCAGAAAGTATGAGGCTGCCAAACAAGCATTCTGTCTACCCTATGATTTTTCAGAGCATATATTGTGTTGCTTGCAGGCATGAAGATCAGTGTCATGAAAGTAGTGCCACTTTCAAGGAGATTTTCCATAGGCCAGACCAGGTTTTTTCAGCATATGGTGTTCCTGGTTCGCTAGCAGAGTGCTACAAAGCAAAGCAAGCACAACAGCAATGGGTGCACTAAAAGGACCCCTATATTCATATGGCTCTGCGCCATATGAATACAGTTAGATCCCAGTTTTTAAGGTATAAGTTAGTTATTTATCTGTAAAGGAACTTTAGAAGATGTATCAATAACGTCATGATCTCTACACAGTGTTATACACCCTGGGGTGAATTGGATGACTTGGTGTAACCCGTGGTTAATAAACCACATTGAATCATGTGCTACAGAAATAAATAGTGCTTTTCTTCAGCGTTGTCACATGAAGCAGCTCTTCTGGAGACATCTCACTTGTTCTGATTCCCAGCGTTGCCATATACTGACCTATTCGGCATCTGCGTGTGCTGCTGTCAAAAGCATGTTTACTCCCACCATGGGGCTGGGATTTATATCTGACATATGTTCCTTTTCTTCCCGTGCTCCAGCACTTAAATTCCAGATTGATTCTTTTCATGCTCTTTAAAAAAAAGAAGGGACATATTTCTAGTGTGGCCTCATTTTTGCAAATCTGCTGCATTATTGATGCCTGAAGGCTGTTAGCACAGCAGAGGCTTTATCTCTTCTTTGCGTCTTGCTGGTCCTTTCCCTCTCCAGCCTGCAGCACATATATACACTTCTGGGGATGCCACCACCCTAAAGCATCAAGCAAGGGCAGCCCACCTCTTCTGCAAGGCTTATTCTAACACAAGAGGAGCCAGATTTAATCCACAGCTTGTCAGCCTGACTGTCTAAGCCTAAGAAAGCCCAGCCCGGTTTGAAAGCGCAATAAACATCAGGTCGTCTGAATTGGCAGGTTTGACTGGTGTCCTGTGATGTCAAACATCATATAGTGTGACCAGCAGGCCAAAGGAGGTGATCCTGCCCCTCTGCTCTCGTGAGACCTCACCTGGAGCATTGTGTGCAGTTCTGGGGTCCTCAACATAAAAAGGACATGGAGCTGTTGGAACAAGTCCAGAGGAGGCCACAAGGATGATCAGGGCTGGAGCACCTCCTGTATGAAGACAGGCTGAGGAAGTTGGAGCTGTTCAGCCTGGAGAAGAGAAGCTGCGTGGAGACCTCATAGCAGCTTCTGGTATCTGAAGGGGGCCTATAGGGATGCTGGGGAGGGACTCTTCATTAGGGACTGTAGTGACAGGACAAGGGGTAATGGGTTAAAACTTAAACAGGGGAACTTTAGATTGGATCTAAGGAAGAAGTTCTTTCCTGTGAGGGTGGTGAGGCACTGGAATGGGTTGCCTAGGGAGGTTGTGAATGCTCCATCCCCGGCAGTGTTCAAGACCAGGTTGAACGAGGCCTTGGGTGACCTGGTTTAGGTGAGGTGTCCCTGCCCATGGCAGGGGAGTTGGAATTGGATGATATTAACATCCTTTCCAACCCTAATGATTCTATGATTCTATAATCTGAATTTGGTTTTTTTTTTAAGATATCCTATTCTTTTTTTTTTTTTTTTTCCTTTCATGGCATTTTGGAGGAGGTGTTTCCTATTTTTCTGTAAATATTCTCACACGTTAAAGCACGCATGTGTACAACCGATTTAGAAACGCAACCACTGGTGGTTAACTCAGTGGCAATTCTGCACCAGGTCCCCTTTCTGCAACCATGGACCAGCTCCACCACAAATACAGGGGCACTGGGGCTGCGGGGTCCAAGGAGGGGTTGCTAATGGCTGCTGTGCTAGAGGGTGGAAGCACAAAGTGTATGGGAACTCCAGGAGGAGTCTGGATTTGCCTCCAGGGCTATAGAGTGCATGAATTGAGATTGTACAGGAAAATGTTAAACCTGTTCAGTGGGTTCCCTCACCATGAGCAGGATCCCAGGGCTTTGGAACCAGAAGGACAATTGCTTCATTCATTTCCTGAAGCTAGCTTGTTAAAAAAGAAAGAAGACAGACTATTTGTAGCATTAACCTTGTGATTTCATGATCGGGTGCATAAATTGCATGACTTGGATAGCTGGGAATTCAGTGGTGGTGCTAATGCAGCTGGCTACTGACTTAGCTCCAGCTGTGGCCTTGGTTTGATGGTATTTTATATGACAGAGTTTACAGAAGTGGAGTTTTCTTGTCAAACATGCAGTTAAGGTCAGAAATAAAGTAAAAACCCCGAGCAGTTTAGCCAGGATGTTTGAAAACCACTCAGCTTTTCACTATAATTTAAAACCCTTGCGTCCTACACTGGTGACTCTAATAAGAAATACATACAATGTAATAGGAAAATGACTAGTGCTAAGAGCAAATTTGGCTCAGTTTTGCTTCTCTGTCTCTTGGGCCCAGGGAAAATATTCCAACAGAAGTCCAAGGGCTTGAGCATGATGGAAAGAAAATTCCTTGCCTTTCAGGTAGCAAATGCTGCTTCAGCAGTGGAAATACAGGAAACCAATCACGGCAGCTTTGAGAGGCACTGGGTTTGGTTTAGATTGCTTGTGCTAAACCTGCAAAGTTTAGTGCTGCTGAGGAAAAGCTGAAGAAGTATATTATGTTAGAACCATAAATCACCTAAAGAACAAAAGCCAAGGATAGGCTGATACAGCTTTTGCATTGGAAGTATTAAATTGCATTTATTAAAACCAAATTAAATAGAGTTGGAAAGAATGTCCCTTACAACAAGAGAGGTGGGTAAAGCCTGACCCTGAGCAGTGCCAGCAGATGCTGCCCGGCAGCAGCCCTCTCTGTCTGCAGAAGGGATTTGGGTCTGACCCAGTTCCCACTTCTTTGCAGAGAAGGATGGGGAATGGCTGCTGGCACCCAGCACCTGGGAGAAGTCAAGAAATCAGCCATTAAAACAGATAGAAACCACATTTTAAGCAAGAAGAATATTGCCATACAATTATATGTGTTATGTTGTTATTATGTTGCATTAGTTCTTGGATGAATCATTAACTCATGGAGTTAATGACACCAGTTAAGGACACCGGTGGCTCTGGTAGGATGTAATTAACCAATGAAGTGGGGATCAAAGCTATCTTTTGTCATTACAGGTAGGATTTCTTTAAGAATTATATACCCCTGCAGGGTCATGACGTATCTGAAAGTGCTAATTAGTGAAGAGCAAATCTAGAGGGTATGTGTTTTGTATGGGCCAAGTGTTTGGCTTCTTGGGCTGGCTGATTGCTGGGCAGACCTCTGCCAGGTGCAGCACAAAGGGACCCCTGCTTTCATGCAGCAAATTTTATTCCCCTGGACCTGTTTTCCTAATACAACCCAGTGGTCATGCAAGGCTTTCGGTGTGTTCCTAATGAGGAGCATGATGAGGAGGGAAGGTGTAAAGTGTGAGGAAGATGATGGGTTGAGGAAAATGGGTGGCACAGGGTGCCCAGAGAAGCTGTGGCTGCCCCATCCCTGGCGGTGTTCAAAGCCGGGCTGGACACAGGGGCTTGGAGCAAGCTGCTCTAGTGGAAGGTGTCCCTGCCCGTGGCAGGGGTTGGAGCTGGATGAGCTTTAAGGTCCCTTTCAATCCAAACCATTCTGTGGTTCTAAGGTGCCGCTACATATCACTGGATGCAGGAGCTGGCATGTGCTTGTCCCTACCCCAGTGCTCCCTCACTCAGAGGGGGTGTTTCTCCAGGGGTCTCAGCTTGTTCTATTACCCTGTTACACCATCATATTATCCTGCTCTTCCTGGGAGGACAGCTGTGGTTTGTGTACCGTCGAGCAGATTAGGCTCTGCGTCCCTTCTCTCCGTGTTATCTGTTTCTCACCTCTGTTGCGCCGTGAACGCTTTGTTGCTTGACTCCAGCCTGCACAAGGACCCTCAGGGCTGGGTGGCTTCGTGAATGGTTGGCCTCCATGGTCTTAAAGGTCTTTTCCAACCTAGCTGATTCTATGATTCTATGCTCTGGGTTGAGGGAGGGGACAGGGATTTAAAAGAAAAGAAAAGAGGATTTTAAAAAGTAATAATAAAAAGATTTAAAAAAAAAGAAGTTAAAATAAGTTAAAAGTCAGAATAAGAGGTTAAAATAAACCGACAAGAGGCACATTTTAGGAACGTTTTGCTGACTTTTCAGGGGCACTCTTAGGGCTGTTCGCACCCCACTTGCGGCTCCCGCAGCCTCCGCTCCGCGCCCGGGGCCGGTGCGGGCTCCCCTCCGGCAGCGGCCGGGGCGGGGCGGTAGCGGAGGGAGGGGGGTAACTCCCGTCCCGTCCCGTCCCGTCCCGTCTCGTCTCGGAGCTGCCCCCGCCCGCAGCGCGGCGGCACCAGACGCCTCCCTCTCCCCGCGGCGCCTCCGCTCCCGATCCCGGCCCCGCCGCTCCCGCTCCTCCTCCGCTCCGCAGTTTGCGTCTCTCCGGTCGCCTCCGCTCTTCAGTGAGCGGCGGGGCCGCGGCGCGCAGTGTGCCCCGGAGCCGGGCTCCCAGCCCGCCGAGCCGTCGTCGTCCCCCTGCATGGCGGCCGCGCCGCAGCCCTGAACCGGGGCCCGGGGGGGAGGCGGTGCGGGAGTCGCCGGGGGCGGGTTGGAAGTGGCCCGGAGGCGGTGCCCGCGGCTCTCCCGCCGCGGCAGCATGGCGCGGGGCGGTGGGCGGCTGGAGGCCGCTGCCCGGGGCCGCCGCCCGCGGGGTCGGGGTGCGCTCGGCCTGCTCTGCCTGGCGCTGCTCTGCGCGCTGGGGGCCGCCGAGGCCGAGTTCTCCATCCTGGACGAGGCGCAAGTTCTGGCCGCGCAGATGAGGACGCTCGCCACCGAGGAGCTGGGGGTCGTCACCATGCAGGTACGGCCTCGCCTGGTTTTCCCTCCTCCCCTCCCTCCTCCACACGCTCTTCCCGGTTCCTGTTTTGCCCTTTCTTCCCTCATTCCTCTCCTTTTCCCCCCTTACAACTCGCCCTCTCTCCCGGTTCTTTTCTTCTTTGCGAACTTTCCCTCCCCCTGGTGAGGGGTCGCCGCTCCCCGGCCCCGCTCCCCTCAGCACCCCGCGGCTCCGCTGAGGAGAAGGAGTCTGGCGGGAGGGAAGCCGCCGGACTCCCGTTTTGTTTGTAATTTACACAATAGAAACGGGCAGAAAACGCCTCCCCCCGAAGTCCTGAGGGTTGGTTTTTAGCGAAGGGGTCCGATCCCGGCCTTGGGGGTGACTGCGGCGTCGTGGCTTGGTGCTAAACCTGCCCCCAGCCCGAGCATCCATCCCTGTGCCTGCTGGCCAGGAGCTGCGATGAGTCCAGTCTTGTCCCAGACCGCTCCGATCGGGATGAAGAAACGCTTCCCGGCCCGAGAGTGCGTTAGAACAAGTATAGTCAGATGCTGTAGTGCGTTTCGGTGTTGGGGTGAAGGTGGGGATGGGGAATTGTTTGCCTCTCAGCCTTAGAAGTGCGATCTTAATGGGGTGTTCGTGTGTGGACTGGTGCTTCTTGCAGAGTGAGCTGGTACCTGCGTTACAGCCATCGGCTCTCTTGGAGGGGGGGGGAAGTGAAATCAGATCCCAAGCGGCTTCCCGGGGAAGGTACGGTCAGTAGCAAATGCAGTTTTAAAAGCTGCCACAACTGAAAAGGAGACACTTTCATAGGAGCAGCAGGGGTCTCTACCCAAATGGCCTTTTATCTTCTCTAAACTGGCTTCATTCTCTCACCTCTGAAGCATCATTGTGTTAGCCGGCCTCCTAGGGCTGCGTTTTGTCCGGGGAAACACTGAGCTGTCTCTTGTCCCTCATGCTAAGAAGACGTGGATTTAAATGACTTCACTTAACAAGGTAGATTATTGATGTACCGAATTCAGGGAAGTCACTTTTTTTCCCTGGCGCTGTGCATATGCATGCATGTATTTCCCTCAAAAAGATATGAGCATAATCCTGTAACTGGTGGAGTCCCTGGTTAATGCAAATTAAGTCAGTCTAATTGCCTTGCTAAATCTGTTGCTGTTGTTAAAAAAGCCCTAATTCGATCAGCTCAGCGCATACTGTCTTTAAAATAGCAACTCAGAAATACACGTTACCTTGCTGTGTTACACTAGCTAACCATGGGGTGAGCCAGGCTTTCTGCCCCAGAATTGCATCAGTGACACAAACTCGTGCACAGTCTGGATGGCAGTGCTCAGGGATGCAGATAATGTTCAAACTGAGTTTACTATTACCTGGATATTTAAGGCCCCAAAGTAATTTCATGCGGCGAAACCAGTAGTTAAACTCTGAAAACCCTTTTCATAACCGAGCTCTATTTTTATATGCTTAATATTTTGGCTGTCTTAACTCCCATCAAGCTAATGCACAGCCTGTCCTTTGCTCCCCCCTGTAACATTATTACAGCTGTTTAAGATTAAAACCCGGTGGGAACAAACCTCCCCTGATTTTAGAAGCTTCTTTGCCGACTTCCTACAGTAGAACAAAAAAATGTTATGACATATGTCACTGCAGCCCGTGATTCTCGTTTGATTTTAGGGTAAGAATTCCCCAACCCTGCTCAGGCAGGGCCGGGTGTAGCTGGCACAGAATTAAATGCCCTTTTCTCTGTGCATGAGGCTGTTGGTGCTGTGTGGTGGGTTGCTTGTGCTGCAGGACTATTGGTGCAGTGGGGATATTTGGGCTGATGCGGGCAGATGCCATGGTGGGGCTGTGCCTGGGCAGAAAGGATGAGAAAGAAGAAGAGCGAGAATGATTTGGGGGTTTAATTGGGTTTAAATCAAGGGGTGTTGGGTTTACTGTAGTGACAGGCCCCAAATCAGGACCTGGTGAGAGGAAGTTGCGGTAGCAAGAGGAAGGATTAATACCCGACCATTTGGGAGCTGCGGTTTTATTTAGCTTCATAAACTGTAGAGGAGGAAGAGGCAGGATTTAACACTTCCCTTGCATGCTCTCTTCATGCTTTGGTCCTTGCCAATTGTCTGCACATCCTGGTAATAGGCAGGAGGAGGTGTCACCAGCCACCGGAGCGGGACGCGTCTGTGGGAGAGGGCTTTGGAGGAAGGGTAGGTCTGGGCTGGAGGAAGCATCCAATGAGTGAACGAGCAGGTGGAAACACTTCAGTAGAGTGAAGGTAAGAGGTTGGTTTGGGTGTGTTTCCAGTCTGGAAAAAGAGGGAATTGTAGACAGAGCCTCCATAAATGCAGGAAGGGAGGATGAAGTGGAGCCTCCAGAGCGGGCACTAGAGGAGCAAGTGGAAGAGGTAAGAGGAGAACCATGGTGTTTGTGAGCCTTAAATGCTTGTGGAAAAGGGCAGACAGTAACACATATGGAAGCTGGGAGATAGAAAAGGCATTAGATTTCTGTTGGAGCAGCCATCAGTGCTATCAATGAGATTTGTCTCCTCCGCTCGGCATCTGCTTCCTGCGATACATTCTTCCACCAGTGTTTCATGTCGTTAGTCCAACAGCAAGAAGGACTTTGTGGTTTTAATCAAATCATGTTGTTTTGCATTCTTGAGAGGAATGAGGTGCGTGTTAATCCACTTTGTAATATGTAGGCTGAAGGTACAAGAAGAGCAAGGATGAGAGATTTGTGATGCCAGCATCAGCCTGACAGTTGTTTTTGGCACTCGCACCACAGCTTTCTGTTTAAAGGCACTTGCATGAGCGCATTATCTGACTATTACCTGAAGTAATGCTTTTTCTCGCCTAAGTGCTCTGATTTCATACATACTTTTATTCCTTGAATGGTACTGCACAGAGCAGCTGGGGATAGTGTAATGTACGTGACAACACCATTTGCAGAACGCATTGGACTGTGGTTTAACAGTTTCTTATTTAAGTTTCAAATTAGAATATCCACGTTTGTATCATAAGAAGTATTCACTCCATGAGAACATGTTTTGGGTGCTGCAGGCAGAAGGTTCCTGTGTGTTACTGTCCTCAGTGTCATTTGCTCCTGTGGGTTACTGTTACCTGTGTGTCTGTGTGTTACTATCCTGGGTGTTATGTCTCCAGGAGTGGTGACATATAGAAAGTTCATTGATTGTTTGACTTCTTCTATTGCACCAATCAATTATTGTTCCCACCTCCAAGGAGAAGCTGCTGTTTTGTGGTGGGTGCTGGTCCTGTAGTAGGACACAGGTACAGTACCTACAGGCACTCATCGCCGTTACTTTCCCTTTTTGTTTGCTAGAGCACGTGTTGACAGCACTCGTATCATTACAGGGAGCAGCTTTTGGCAGCAGGCTGCATCCTTGGAAGACCGAGTGCAATCACATCTCCACTTGCCAGTCTGAGCAGCTGTAATACTTGTCGTTGCTCAGTAGACTGTACCTTAAATAGCCTGATATCATTTGCAGAGGAGCTGGAGCTTGGTCAGTGAGTAGCTTGTGTGACAGTCCTGCAATATATTCTCCTGTGCAGAGCTGGTACTCAGCAGCAATTAAAAGCTTATCATCCGTTTTTACTAAAATCAAAACTAAATTGGTGGTTGTGGCATGACCTGCTAGTTTCACCATCCCTGTTACCTGGCTCTTCTGATCCTGGCTTCTGTGACCTGGTTGAAATTACAGAGTAGGTTGTTGGTTCAGACAACTGAAGTTCTTGGTTTTGACCAGCTTTAACCTTTTAAAGCTGCAGGGGGTATCCATGGTGAGGGCTATTTTTTGATAGTGTGGGGCAAGGTAACATTTCCACCTCCAAAACAGAGGGATAACGCATCCAGAGTTGAAAGGATTAAGCAGTGCTTTGAAGATGAAAAGCATTAAGTGCTTCTATAACTTTCAAAATGCATGTTGATGTTTCTAGCCAGATAGTAACAAAAGTTACAGGCCCAGAGGGCCTTGGATGTTTTCGAAGGCAGCTCTGCCATCTTAATCCTTTACACTGACTCCATGAAGGAAGCACAGTCCTTTGTCATTTTCTGCTACTGCTCTTGAAGCTTGGAAGGAAAAAATCAGGCATGTTGGATCTGAAAACAGGAGTTTGCTGGTTGTTTTTTTTCCTGTTTGGGTTGGTGGTTGTGTTTTTTAATTATATTAATACTTGTTCAGGTGATGTTCTGATGTGTAAAATAGCAAACAGCACAGTACAAGCTTCTCCAGGTTGATTGCAAAGCATACTATTTACTTATTTTACTAGTAACTTCTTTGGCCGTATGTTTCTGAAGAAGCACAGATTGTGCACAGACCACAGTGACACAGAGATGGGGAGATGTCCAGGGAGGAATAGGGGATAGGGAGGAATCCCTGATGCCATTGTTCTGGAAAATCCACATTCCTTGAAGATTTCTGGGTGATGGCAGAGAGTTGCAGTCATCAGAACTGTCCATTTATTTAATCCCTTTGAAAATAGACACTGATAGACTGCAGTATTTTTTCCCTAATGGGATGGTCTTTTGGCTAATGGCTGGAATTAGGTCTTAGAAGAGAGAAATCCCATTTTGAGCTGCTCTGCACACCATTTGAGATGCCGGAACTGGGGGTTTCCCACATTTCCCTGCTGCTTTCCGTGGGTATTTACAAACAGACCTGTTGGTGACTGTACGGTGCTTTCTCGATGTACAGCGCTGGGTCTGAAGCCTGGACCTCTGTTTATCCTCAACTACAGGGCAGCAGAGAAAACTGCTTCCTTTTTCTTGTTTTTCCTTTTATTTTCAGGTTGCTTCCAGCTTGTGAAGCTGAAATACAATAGAGAACTGTAAGTAAGGAAGGCTGATAAATATTTGACTCTATCTTTTTTTTCTTTTAATTATTATTTGGCAGTAGTGTGCACTTCAGTGATAATTACAGAGCAGAAACCAGTGGAGTAAACCCTCATCTGTTTTACATGATTAAATCTTGGTTTGAATCCAGCTGCAGCAGCCTTGTTCAAGGCGCTCTG